CGGCGCCGCGGGCGAGGGCGAGGCCGGCGCCGGGGCCGGGCAGCCGCTGCGCGTCAATGTGCTGCTCAGCAGCCTGCTGGCCAAGTGGTTCCCGGGCCAGGCGCGGGCGTCGCAGCTGCGGCACGAAGGCAACGTCCTGTACCGGGAGCGGAAGCCGCAGGCGGCGCTGCACAAGTACAACGAGGCCGTCAGCTTGGGTAAGCGCTGGAAGTAGGTCAGGGGAGCAGCGCGTTGTGTAAGGGCCGGCCCGGCCCCTCCCCTCCTCCGCGCCGTTGTGTAACCGGGGAGGCGGCCGGACCCCAAGCTGGGCGGCTCGGGTTTCCGCCGGCTCCTGTCCCGTCCCTCCGGCTGAGCCCCCGACCTAGTTTTGGAGAGGGACCTGCCTCGCCAGTCCTGTTGGGGGCAGCCCCAGAGCTTGGAGAGCAGGTGCTTGCTCCAGCTATGTCCCCACGGAGAGCGAGAGAGTCATGTCCGGCCGGCCGTCCCCCTCCCCCCCGCAGAGCAGGGAAAGATGCTGCTCCACACTGCACAGGAGTTGTAGTCATGCAGTGCTGGTCCCTACCCGGGTTGTGCAGCCAGAACTTTTGCTTGTACTTGTACCCCCTTCCTCCGAATGTAGACCTTGAACAGGAATTGGGTGGTTAAAAAGAAGGTAAACATCTCATTGTAATGCAGGATCACTTTGAAGACTTGATTCTTAATCTAGGACCAGGTATTGCATCACATAGCAGGGATGGGGTGAGGTAATATTTATCTGATCCTGGTTAATTTCCTTGACTGATGATAGGTTCAGAAGACCCCGATGTGTCGCTTTCAAAGCTTTGATCCTAACCCCTTTGTAAGGGGAGTTAATTTAAATTCCTGCTTTCCCTATGGCAACGTTATAATTATGTCATCTTTAATCTTTGTTCATGGAAATTGACCAAAATCTGATCCTCTGCCTAAGCGGGTAACATTTGCGAGCTGCTGTGGATGTTCTCCCTGCCGTGTTTCCATCGCTTATGTAACACAAATCGGACCTCTTATGGCTAGAATACCCGAGAGAGCTGCTGTGCCTGATTGAGTTCTTGGTTGTTTAAATAATACTTCTGATGCAAATGCTTTTTCCCTGATCATTTTAGAAAAAGTGTTGTAAAGAACAGGTCCATGTGCTATTCCAGTCATTGTAACAGGTCAATGTTTATATTGCTTACAGCTCCAAATGACTACTTATTATATAGCAACCGGTCCCAGATCAACTCTACGTTGAAAGCCTGCGAAGATGCACTGCGTGATGCAGAAATGGCATGTAGGCTCCAGCCATATTGGTTGAAGGTGAGTTTTAAAGCTGAAATCTTTGGCTATCCCAGTGGCTTGCTGAGTGCCATGGGAAGGAAGAGCTGACCCGGAGAGCTGCTACAACACTGCTGAGACCCTAGACCAGTAGACCAGCACACCATGGAGATCTGACTGAGTTCTCTGAGTCAGGAAGGGGCTAAAGTAAGGAGCAGTGCATGCACTTACTGTAGTCTAATCCAGTAATCATAACTGCCTGTGTGATCTTGGAGGAGGTCAGATCTACATGTTATGCCAGAAGTCAAGAGCTGTGCTTCCTTCTGCTGTCTAAAACAGGTGGGCAGAATCCAGCCTGCGGAGGGATTTTGTCCAGCCTGAAGCGGGTCCCTCGGTCCTGCTCGGCCCAGGCACAGGGGCAGCGTGGGTTGCGCGTGTGGCCAGAAACATCACCCGGAACATGTAGCAGGGCTGAGGCAGCATGGTGACCCCGGCAGCCCCAGCACAGTGGCTCCTTTCAGCTGCTGGACCCAGCTCCACTGCCCAGGCGCCCTGGCCCATCTGCCCCATGCCCACCACCAGGCAGGATTTACACAGGTCAGGTGGACGGGAGGGGGCTCTGGGTGGGCAGGGGGCAGTGCCCAGGAGCGGGACAGAAAGGTGTGGCTGGGTTCACATGGCAGTGACAGCGTGAGGCCAGGGCCTGAGACAGAGCCACGATCTACTTGGGCACCGGTAATGGGGCAGGGGTGAGCAGAATGTGGCTCTGCTCCAGGATCCAGCCCTGTGCTGTCACCGCCTAGTGATCCTAAGATCCCCCTGGAGACCGTTTGGTTCCCATGCGGACAGAGCATGTGACCAGGCAAACGGGATGGGGCCATGGGCCAGGCAGGGAGCTGCATCTGGGAGCAGGGACAGGCGCCCCACCAATCTTGCTTCTGGATGCTGCTCCACACCCACCTGTGGCCCCATTGCAGGCACCTGGCTGAGCATGGAGCGGAGCCACTTAGGGAGTTTTGGTGAGTGGTTGTGGACGGGCGGTTGCTGACCTGGCCTGTGACAGCTCACCAAAACTCTGTGGCCCTTGAGCCCAAACAATTGCCCACCCCAGTCTAGAAGGCAGCATTGAGAAACAGATTAAGGTGTTCTCCCCAGATAAAGGAGGGTCCTGAAAAGTGACAGGGTACCAGCCTTCAACTGGGTCCAGATGCTGTGAAGTAAACTTGAATGTGTATGTGGGAGGCAGGGAGGTGATATTCTCGCAAGAGAAGTAAATATGGAAAATGTTCATGTTGTTTCTAGGTGGAAGCTCAAACTCCGACCCTATGTTGGTAACCCAGACTGTTCTAATGCTGCTTTGTGCCGAATTTTTATTTAAACTTCAGCACAGTAAAGTGTTTTGGTTTTTCCACGTTTAAACTGTTGGTTTTTATCAAACGGGCTTTAAAAATGTAATAAGAGAAAAGAAACTAGAATCATGGACCTGTTTTCTCTCAGGGTCGCTTAAGGAAAGGACAAGCATTAGCTAACCTAGGAAAAATAGAAGAAGCTTTAAGAGAGTTTCTCTTCTGCCTTGCCCTGGATATTGGGAACAAGACAGCCAAGTCAGAGGCTCAGAAGGTGAGTTCCTTAGATCTTGTGCAGCTTCAGTGCTTTATCATATTGATGATTGCTTGCTCGTAAAAAAGAAAGCAGAAGTTATTACATAGAGATGGCTTGGAGAAAACATGGTCTTCAGTGCTGTTCCTGTGTGTTCAAATTGTTTTGTGTCCATTGCTGTACTTAAGGCACGGCTTAAGTGGCAATAGCAAGAGAGCCTCTCCACCCCCAGTGGGTAGAAAGTCTGATTTGTAGATTTGAAATAAAGAGATGTTAAAAATCAGTGGAGGGTTAGTATTGCTAAGAGGACTCCCTGTATTCACATTTCCCACCCTAGACGGGTGCTATCGACTGGAGAAGAGGGAGTATCTAGTTAATATTGTATCAACTGATAGACTAAAAATAAAGAGCAGCACCGTTAGAACTCCACTTGGGAGCAGCATCACTCTTTCCACAGCCACTGATGTGGCTCTGAGCATCAGCACATGGAGAAAGCAGGAGAGGAAACAGAGTAAACAAAGGACAAGTGCTATTTTAAAAACTGCTTATGAGGTTACTAATAACTAACGATAAATAGGCAATATGACAGATCTGAAATAAGCCTGTTCCTGTAGCAAACAAAGCTAAGGGAGCATCTGTTGTGTTTTTTCTTTAGAGGGTACTGCCAAGATTGCTAGTCCTACTTTAAAGACTTCTAGAAATTGTTCCCTTTGTTAGCTCTCGTGGCTTCCATCCGTGGTGTGTGCGCTTTTGTGTGCTTGCCATTTTTGTCTTGCTTAAAGCAGAGCTGCCCAGCTGATGGCCTGCGGGCTACCTGCAGCTTGCAATGGGCTCATCTTTACACCCTCCCGCACTGTTGTTTCCCCTGGCCACCACCACCACTGCCCTCATCACTCTGCCACCACTGCAGCTGGGTTCTTTGGCCTCCCACTCCCTTCTCTCTCCAGGCTGCAGGACAGCCTGCAGTGCTGGGGGAGCCTGAAGCCAGGGTGGGGGCCCTGCCCAGCCACGCCATGTAGGGAGCAGGGGGAAAGCCATCTGCCCATGTGGTGCTAAGGGAACTCGCAGCTGGAGAGGTAGATGGGGAAGGCATGGCCCTGGGGGTGCGGCCCCCAGCTGCTAAGAAGTTGGCTAGCCCTGGTTGAAAGTAATCTTTGTTACGGTACTGTGCCTATAATCAATTTCTGCAATAATGGTCATTGCAGTAAAAACCAACCCACACCTTACTGTCCTGATACGAACTTGCACCTTTGTCTGTTTTTTTGCACCGGTCCTGGAAGCACTGTAATACCAGGTCAATGCATGGAGTGGATGGAGCAAGCTCCAGTTCCACCACCCAATACCAAAAAAAGTGCTCAATATAGACCTCCTGTGGAGGACATATTAGAGACAATCACCTGGCCTGGGGAGCCCGCCTACCACTTGAGTGATCATGGTGTTGCCCCTGCCAGGTAACTTGCACCAGTTTTTCTACCCCACGTTTGGTTGGGTGGATTTGGGCTAAAGAAAAAGGCTCTGGGATGAGAGCTGTAATGAGAAGGATTTTCTAAATGCTGTGGGTGAAATTGTTGGAATAAGTGCCCATAACTGTTGGTGTGCTCCAGACAGTTGACACTTTTCAGCCCTATTCTTCCATGTTTTGTGTGCGACTCTAGATGGAATAGTTATTGTGTTTTCCTGACTCGTCAGCAGGTTCCTTCCCTAAAATGCAGTCTCATGCATTGTCATTGTATCAAGCAAGGCTCTCATGGTGATGACGTGATGCTTCCTGTGTCAGAGCCGGAAGATGTAACAAACTGATACGTTTCTAGATTCACACTCAAAATAGCCTTTGCCAAGAAAGCTATTTCTTTCTCAGTAGTTAGGGTCCTGAGGATAATCTAGGCTCTTTGTTATGGGAAGAACTGCTTACAGGGAGAGTGTATCAATGATACAAGTATCTATTGGATTACTTCCAAAGCTGTTTGCATAACAGTGACATAGCTGCTTTTAGCAAATCCTTCCAATGAGGTGGAACTTATGTGCCAGACAGCAGATGCCAATAACGTTGGCATCACAAACTGCCTTGAACATATTGGCCCCACTGTAGGTGATCAT